AGCGGAATGGGAGCAGTCATCTCACACATCATGCCAAATGGGGAGAAAGTGCCAATTGCCTGCGCCTCTAAAACACTCTCACCAAGCGAGCTTAGCTACGCACAGATCGAGCGGGAAGCGCTTGGTATTGCCGCGCGCAGGGCTGAGAAAGCAACGCTCGATCACGAACCTCTAGAAAGTTCTCGTTTATTCTTGTTCCAGACGTAACTTCTATCGTTTATTCCTGCTTTTGTTGTTCCAGAAAGTGCGTGTTCATTCTCGCCCCGAGCGCGCTACGCTCGAACCTTCTCCGCCGAATCTTCGAGATAGTGACTCACCTTAGATAAGAGGGCGCCCGCGACCTTGCCGAGTCAGAACATGATAGATAGCGAGATAGCGGCTTCGTCGACTCGCTTCGAGCGGTTTACGAAGTTCGGGCGGTCTTTTTCCGTTTCGCAGAAGAGTTTTCGTGTACAGTGTTGCGTCGTCAGGCGTCGTCAAGCGTCGTCAAGCGCATCACCGGGGATTGTCTGACGACGGACAGTCCCTGCACCACTGAGCGGCGGGACCGGCTGACAAGCATAACGGCCACTTCGGGGGGCGCCCATTCAAAGCCCCAGCCCCATGGATGAGGACCGAGGCCCACCGGCTACACCAGGTAAAGGGACCGCTACTTGAGCCCCACCCCGGCATCGAATCCGTCAGTAGCATCCTTTTCCTCCGAGGCTGAGTCGGCACATGGAAGACGGGACGAACGGACATGCAAGCAACAAGGGCGAAGGGGACGACGGCTTCACCTTCGTAGGCCCGAAGAAAAGTCGACGGGGCTCGACCAACAGCGGCGACACAGTAGTCTCCAAGGAATCGCGACTGGCTGCCAGGAACACTGAAGCCCGGCTCACAGTACTGTTCTGGCCTACAGAGAAAGCAAACGTCCGGAAGCTCAACAGGGTAGAACTAAACGCTCACTTCGACGTCATCGCTCCTCGCCAAGTGAAGGAGATACGGGTCAACGGCCGAAAGAACGTGATAGCGGTCGACGTTCACATGAAAGAGGCTGTGCCTAAACTTCTACTCATCAGGAAGCTCGGCGGCATACCGGTTGAGGCCCGCGTACCATGGACGACACATCATATCGCAGGAGTTGTTCGAGACGTAGATCAAGGCTTGTCAGAGGAAGACATCTACAACAGCATGCGGGCCCAAGTTAACATCCTCGGCGTGCGGCGCCTGGGGAAGTCGACGACTGTCAAGGTCACCTTCGAAGGCAAGGACCTTCCGCAATATGTCCACATGGGATACGTGCGTCACCCGGTTGCACTCTTTGTGGCTCGTCCTCTACAGTGTTTCCGGTGCAATAGAATGGGCCACATCGCCGCGGTCTGTGAGAGAGAACGAACGTGCGCGAAATGTACAGGTAATCGCGAAACATCGACGTGCGAAAGCGAGACCGTTCGATGCGTCAACTGTCGACGGGACCACGCCGCCACTTCGTCGGAGTGTCCAGTCCTGAGGAAAGAGCGGAAAGTGTGCAAGCAGCGCGCCAGGTCGGCCTCCACCCACGCGGAAGCGAGAGCAGCGGTACGAAAGCAAAACACGGACAAGGTAGCCAGCCGGCGTGGCGCACCTCCTACAGCAGCCTCAGGAGCTGCGAGTGCAAAGGGACGGGCAAGACTGCCAGAAGACGATTTCCCCCCGCTAGTTACGCGACAAACTGGGGCGAAGCAGATGGCGGGGCAGAAAGACGCAACCCGCTCTGAACCAACGGAAAGTAACCGAGCACGCGAACCAGAAGGCACTGCGCAGGTGGAGAGGCGCCGGTCTTTTGCCCATGTGGCACGAAATGGACGCCACAAGACCCCATCGACGGGAGAGGCTACAGACGCCGCCCTACTACGAATGGTTTCACGGCTCTTCAGGGCGGTGCGACAACTGGCACAAGCACGACGCCACACACCAGAAGCGAAATTCGCACTGGAGGTACTAGATGCTGTCGGGGAGAGTCTCGAAGGAATCATCACACAGAATGCCTAAGCCGGGTATCGTGAGTCCACAGAAGCAAGATAACTCGACAAGCACCCCAACTTTGAAGGATGGGCGACGGCCGAGCCATAGGACGGGGGGACGGGACGTCCCAACCGTGCTGCAGTGGAATTGTCGTGGACTTACGGCCAGACACAGCGAACTAACCCTGCATCTGCAACGCTACCCAAGCCCAGTGCTGGCACTCGTAGAAGCCGGCCTTCCGGGAAAGCGGACACTACCTGGGTACGTGAAGCTTACTACGCAATCCATCCCCAGTTTTCCCCATGGAAGTGCGGCGCTTTTTATACGGCAAGGAGTGCCCTACTTTCAAGTGGACACCAGTCAGTTGTGTACCCTGTCGGCGGAGTTTGTGGCCGCAAGAGTCAGCATCGGCAAAAGAACTTCCCATGTGCTCGTGGGTTACGTCTGGCCGGATGGCACGGAGTGGCCGACAGATGATCTTCTGACATGGTGCAAGAACATCGACGGGGACCTGCTTCTGTGTGGTGACCTCAATGCGCACAGTGAAGCATGGAGCAGTCGGAAAACGGACAAACGGGGGGACGCAGTCACGAAAATGCTGGAGGAGCTGCACTTGGTCGTGTCAAACGACGGAGGGCCCACCTTTTTCAGGCCTCCCAGCACGTATAGCGCCATCGATGTCACGGCGCATACACCAACACTCGAGCTGGCATGGGCAACTGCCCCGGACACCAGAGGGAGCGATCATTTCCCTATCCACATCACAGTCAAGGGGTGCCAGACGGTCAGGAAGGTTGTGCGGTCGTGCACAAGCTGGGACGTTTTCCGTGCAGCTTTGAACACAAGCCGTGCAGACATTGCGACAGCCATCTTTCAGGCTCTGCAGAAGCCAACACACACGACGAGCATCTCTGAATGGCTGCCAAATCCCGACCTCACCTTCCTAAACCTGCAGGCGGCGCGAACAAGGCCCCAACGAAAGTACCGACGCACGAAGAACCCGGAGGACAAGACCCAATTTAACAGAGTGTCGGCAAAGCTACGAAGACACGCCAAGGCGCTGGTGAGAGCTCGATGGAAGCTGATGTGCGGGAACATCAACGCTCACTCATCGCTGCCCCAACTCTGGAGAGTCCTAGGTGCAATGATTGGGAGCTGCAGAACAAGGCATGCGCTGCAGGTGTTAGTACTCACAGCCAACATAGCAGAGCAGCTGGCAGCAGAAAGATTATGTGCCCTATACGCCCCTGCCGAAGCGCCAGGAAAACCTGGAACTCCAAATCTATCCCCGGGGCCCCTAGACGCACCTTTTACCGCCCAGGAACTTGAGAGTGCTCTCCGGAGATGCCGGAAAAAGAGTGCAGCGGGACCCGATGGAATCCCATACCAGGCACTCACGAACCTTCCGGATGACGCACAAGAAGCCCTCGTCGCCTGGTTTAACACCATATGGGACTCTGGCGACGTACCCGACGGGTGGAAACTGGCAACCGTAGTGCCCCTACTCAAGGCAGGAAAGCCCCCCGGCAAGGCGGAGTCCTAACGCCCGGTGTCGCTAACGTCATGCGTAAGCAAAGTGTTTGAGAGAATGGTTCAAGCACGCCTTCGCTGGTACCTGGATGCACACTGTCTCCTCCCCGAGTGTATGACTGGTTTCAGGAGAGGTCTGTCAGCCCAGGACAGTATATTGGACCTTACGAGTGACCTGGAAGATAACAAGAATAAACGAAGAAACACGGTGGCAGTCTTCCTCGACGTGGAGCGGGCTTACGACGGCGTCCCGCTTGCCACCATCCTCTGCAGACTGACCGAGGCGGGGATCACAGGCAAAATCCAAGCCTTCCTGGCGAACTTCCTGACGGGGCGAAAAATAGAAGGTTGCTCTGGACAGACAGTATCGTCACCAAGGGTGCTCCACAGAGGGTTGCCTTTAGGGAAGTGGGTTGAGTCTGGTGATCTTTAACATCGTGATGGCCCAGCTACTGTGCTCCATCCCACCAACGCCCCTGCCGGTGCATGTACCGCTGTACGCAGACGACGTATGCCTCTGGGTATCGGGCATTTACACCACGCAGATCCATCGGAGCATACAGGACGCCATCCACGCTGTGGACAAATTTCTGACCAATTCGGGGCTGAAGCTCTCCAGAGATAAGACAGCCTGGATGTCCATACGGGGGAACGGACGCCACTTTCGCCCACCAGACATCAAGTTGGCAGGAGAAAGAATCACACGCGTAACAAGGCAGCGGTTCTTAGGAATCATCCTCACAGACAGACTGCGATGGGCACAAGCCGCGGAGGCGACCATCACAACCTGCAGGCCGGCCACGAATGCTGTCCGCCGCATGACTGGGGCCACATGGGGCTGTACAGAACGAACCATCCTGGCCGCCCAGACAGCGCTCGTCACGTCAAGGATACTGTACAGGCTGCCCTACATGTCCCCATCCCCGACAGACCTGGAGAGGTTGGAACAACTGCACCGCCAGGGACTTCGCACGGCGTTGGGGATCCCGAAGGCTGCCAAGAACACCCTGGTCCTCCAAGAAGCGGGGTTAGAGTCGCTCGAGAGGCAGTCTTGGGAACGAAGCCTCTGCCAACTGGCACGACTGTCGGCAACCCACCCAGGTAGATGGTTCCTGCGTAGAATTCAGGGCCGGACGACAGCGTCATGGCGCAAGGTGGTGGAAGTTTTCCTTCGAGTCGCGGACCCCCTAACGATGCCACAGAGCGAGTTAAGGGCACCACCATGGGAAGTGCCGAAGATAACTAGTGAGGTGCGGATTAAGTACCTGCGCTCCAAACAAGACAAGCCACCCCTTGTCATCAAGGAATTAGTGGAGGCCCACCTCGAAGAACGTCACAGCGGAAAGCTGCAGATATACACTGACGGGTCGGTAAACCACTCACGAACCTCCAGCACGGCGGCTTATCACATACCGAAACTAAGTCTGGAGTGAAGTGGCAGACTCCACAAACCCACGTCTTCAACAACGGCCGAGCTGGTGGCCATGGAAAAAGCTTTCCTGGAGGCCGCCAAGTTGCCGCCCCAACCGATGGTCTTTCTCACGAACTCCCGGTGCGCCATCCAAAAGATAGCCAATGCCGAGACCGGAGACCCTGCAACGGCCGCTGCAAGGAAGGCCCTGGCTATCTTGGAAGCGCATGGCTCTTCAGTCTGGTTCCAATGGATCCCAGGGCACGTCGGCATCCAGGGAAATGAACGCGCGGATGACCTCGCCGCGAAAGCGCATCAGTTTCCCCCCAAGGTCCCTACACCTGCACACCCGCAACAGGCAGCTCTCGATGTCCGCTGGCATCTCCTGCGGGAGAAGCCGGAGAAATCTTTACCCAAAGGCACCTTGACCGGTCTCTCCCGGGCAGCGAAGACACTGGTGCGACGACTAGGGACAAATACGGCATACACAAACGAATTCCTTGCTAAAATGGGAAAACGACAGAGCTCAAGCTGTCTTCAATGCAGGGCAGAAGAGACGATCCACCACATCCTCTGCGTCTGCCCGGCATACGAGACCCAACGGGAAGCGCTGCGTCAACGGGTTAAGGAAGGCACCCAGGTGACAACAGACAGCTTGCTCTTTCCCGACGGGCCCAGACGAAAGTGCCGGAGGATTTTCAAGGCATTGTTGGCGTTCCTACGACACACAGAACTGACTGAGTGCCTGTAGCCAAAGTAGGCCCAGGCTCGTGGTTTTTCTTAGTGCATTACCCCCGGTTCTTTCTTTTTTTTTAGCTTTATTGGAGCTCGTCACCTGCCCAGGCCAGCACATCAGAGCTAGGCTAACCTAGGAGACGTTAAACCCAACAAACCACCACCACCACCACCTTGTCGAGTCAGTCTCGCCCCTGCGCTCGATCCTGCGGTTTCGCCGACATCGACGCCCGCGACGCTCTGCTGTTTTCTTTTGTACCCTTTTATTTCTGGCACAAGTTCGCCACATTAAACGTTTATTTCTTTCCGTTTATTTATTGTTTATTTGGTCACCACCCGTGACATTTTGGTGGAGGTGCGGGGTAATCGCATGCCCGTGCAACGTTCCCCTCCAAGGGCCCGCAGTGCAAGTCCGAACTTAGCCTCCCGAGGACCGAGCGAAGACCAGATCGGGACCCGATCCAGTCGCCGCACCCAAGGTCTACCCCCGGAACACGGACTTCTGCCACCCCGGACCAGGCAGCCAACGAGGCCGACGATGGACAACCAGTCGTCGCAGAACCCGTCCGCTGCCGCCGTCGTATACCTTCCCGTCGCACCCCGGACTCCGACGCCATTTCACGGGGAGGTCCACGAGGACGTTGAAGATTGGCTGCAACATTACGAACGAGTTGCTCGCCATAACGCATGGACTCCGGAGCAGTGCCTTCAGAACGTGTACTTCGCTCTGGAAGGCACGGCACGCACCTGGTTCGAGAACCACGAAGCGTCGATTTCGTCCTGGCAAGACTTCCAGGCGGAGCTTCGACGCACTTTTGCAAGCCAGCAGCGACATCAGCGGGCCGAAGAACTTCTTCAAGCAAGAAGCCAAGGGCCAAACGAGAGCGTCACAAGTTTCGTCGAGGACGTTCTCCGCCTCATGAATCGCGCCGACCCAAGCGCTCCTGAAGAGAAGAAGCTGCGGTTCCTTATACGAGGAGTTAAAGAGACCATCTTCGGAGGCCTTGTGCGGAACCCGCCTATCACCGTCCGAGACTTCATCACCGAGGCAACTAACATCGAACGTGCCTTTCAAGCACGCGCCTCCCACTATCAGAGACTTCCTGGCTTCGCTGCCCCCTCGCCGTACGGCAGCAACACCCCGGACATACGCGAGATCATCCGGGACGTCGTCCGGGAGGAAATCAAGAAGCTCCTGCTTGCTACCCACCAGCCTGCTTCGGTGTCAATAGCAGAAGTTGTCCGCGAGGGGGTCCAGCGGGCATTCCAACCTGAGGCTCCTGCCAGCGTACCAGCACTCGAGGAGCCCTCTTTGACCTACGCCGCGGTAGCTCGGAGACCGGCGCCAGGTGCCCAGCAGTATTCGACGCCACCTCGACGTGTACTACAAGAGCCACAAACCTTCCGACGTGTGGAAGGACAACCCCAGTTCTTCCGCACTGAACAACCGGCGCCAAGGAAGACGGATGTGTGGCGCACGGCCGATCGACGACCGCTGTGTTATCACTGCGGCGAGGCCGATCATGTGTACCGCCGATGCCCATACCGACGACTCGGGCTGCGCGGATTCCACCCAAACGACCCGAGCCCCCGGTATGGTGAACGCCCTCGGGAGATCGACGAGTACCTGCGACGACCTCAGTCCCCTGAGCCTGCGTCCCGCCGAGAGTTCCGATCGCCTTCGCCACGATGTCCAGCTTCGCCGATACACCGACCCCGACGTGAAAGCCTGTCGCCCCTCGCTCCTCGCCGGGGAAACTAGGCGCGGCACCCCTGGAGGTGGAGTTGCCAAAGACGACCGACGTAAAGAGCCTCCAAGAACGACGGAGCGCTCCCACTCTCCCGACGCTACGCATCACAACGACGCTCCTGCTTCGGTGTCCAACAACCTAAACGTTGTTATCGACGGCCTCGACTCATCGGCACTCGTGGACACCGGAGCAGACTACTCAGTCTTGAGTGGGAGGCTCTCCCGCCGCCTTCGAAAAGTCATGATGCCGTGGGATGGACCACAAATAAGAACCGCCGGAGGACACTTGATTACACCTGTCGGGAGATGCACCGCTCGTGTCGTGATTCACGGCGAAACATGCCCTGTGAAGTTCGTCGTTCTGCAAGACTGCTCGAGGGACGTCATTCTCGGAATGGACTTCCTGTGTGAATACGGCACCATCATCGACCTTGCGGAGAACAAGCTGACGCTTCGGAAGCCTGTCCCATCGGTGGAAAATCCCAAACCGACGTTAGCTTCAGTCCGAGTCCTCGCCAACCACGTAAATCTGCCGCCGCTGTCGAGTGTCTTTGTGCCCGTCGGGACCGAAGGAGCCACCTGCGGTGTAGCACTGCTGGAAGGAAGCGTCCAACTTTTCCTCGGACGAGGAATTGGCATTGCAAGAGGCGTAACCGAGCTCCAGTACGGGCGTACCGTAGCCCTTGTCACCAACTTCCGGCAAGAGTCGAAGCACCTTACAAAGGGTACAGCTGTGGGCTACGTCGAGGAAATTCAAGACTCAGCCGCGATCGCCGTGATCTCAGAAGACGCCTCTCCGACGCAGAACAAGAAAATCACGTCCTCAGAGCTCGACATCGACCCGTCCCTCCCAGCCCCACAACGACGGCAACTTCGTGACCTTCTCGCCGAGTTCAGTGAATGCTTCTCCGCGTCGTCGAAGGTGCGCCAAACGACGGTTGCGAAACATCGGATAATTACTGATGACAAAGCACTCCCTGTGCATCGGCCGCCGTACAGGGTCTCCGTGAAAGAAAGGGAAGCCATCCAGCAGCAGGTACAAGAAATGCTTGACGACGACATTGTCCAGCCCTCAAGCAGTCCGTGGGCTTCACCGGTAGTCCTGGTGAAAAAGAAAGACGGGACTCTTCGGTTCTGCGTGGACTATCGCCGACTGAACGCCGTAACAAAAAAGGACGTCTACCCGCTGCCACGCATCGACGACACCCTGGACCGGCTGCCCGATACTTTTCGTCGATGGACTTGAAGAGCGGGTACTGGCAGATTGAGGTCGACGAACGAGATCGTGAGAAGACAGCCTTCGTCACGCCGGATGGACTGTATGAGTTCAAAGTAATGCCGTTCGGGCTGTGCACAGCGCCGGCAACCTTCCAGCGCGTTATGGACACCGTCCTTGCCGGCTTGAAATGGCAAAGCTGTCTCGTCTACCTCGACGATGTTGTGGTGTTCGCAAGCGAATTCGACGAGCACCTGAGACGACTGCGAGCCGTGCTACAGGCCTTCAAAGCTGCTGGGCTGACCCTCAAGTCTTCCAAGTGTCGGTTCGCCTATGGTGAGCTGAAATTCTTGGGCCACGTCGTGATCGTGCTCAGGGTGTAAGCCCTGATCCCGCAAAGACGTCCGCTGTCGCCGAGTTCCCGAAGCCATCAGACAAGAAGACCATTCGAAAATTCCTTGGGCTGTGCGCCTATTATAGACGTTTCGTTCGTGACTTTGCGCAGATTTCTGCACCGCTGACGCCTCTGACGAAAGACGACGTGCAGTTCCAGTGGGGAGAGGAGCAAGAGCAAGCGTTCGGCGAACTCAAGCGAAGGCTCCAGTCGCCCCCCATCCTCGGACATTTTGACCAGTCGGCAGAGACTGAAATCCACACGGACGCCAGCAATACCGGTCTCGGTGCGGTACTCGTTCAGCGACAAGAAGGGGCAGAGAGAAATCGCTTACGCAAGCCGGGCGCTGTCTAAGGCAGAACAAAATTATTCAACGACCGACAAAGAATGTTTTGCTGTCGTCTGGGCGATAACCAAGTTCCGCCCGTACTTGTATGGGATCCCATTTCGCGTGGTCACAGACCACCACGCCCTCTGCTGGCTCGCAAACCTCAAGGATCCGTCCGGACGCCTCGCCCGCTGGAGCCTTCGACTGCAGGAATTCGAAGTAACCATTGAGCATAAGTCCGGCCGCAAGCATAATGACGCTGACTGTTTGTCCAGGGCTCCAGTCGAACCGCCAATCTCCGGCGCCGACGACGATGACGACTCCCGTTTTCTAGGCGCAGTTAACGCTACCGACATGAGGGCACTGCAACGCGACGAGGCGGAACTGAGCTCCGTGATCGACCACCTCGAAGGTCGAGGAGGCTCTGTCCCACGGGTCTTTTCTCGGGACCTACCGAGCTTTGTCCTGCGGGGAGGCGTGCTCTTCAGAAAAAATTTCGGAACCAGCGAAACTTCCTGGTTACTGGTTGTCCCCGCCAGCCTCCGAGAAGAAATTTTTCAAGCGTGCCACGACGACCCAACGGCCGGACATCTCGGCTACAGCAGGACCCTTGCCCGGATTCGTGACAAGTACTACTGGCCAAAGCTTCCGAAGACCGTCCATCTCTACACACGATCGTGCCATGAGTGCCAGCGACGCAAGAAACCGCCGTCAAAGCCAGCAGGTCTCCTCCAGCCGATTACCCCGCCAATCAAGCCCTTCCAGCAAATTGGAATGGATTTGCTGGGTCCTTTTCCACCGTCGACGATGGGGAACCGCTGGATAATCGTCGCCACCGATTATCTTACTCGTTACGCCGAGACGAAAGCCCTTCCGTCGGGGACTGCGGTCGAAGTCGCCAAGTTCTTCATCGAGTCCATCGTCCTCCGGCATGGCGCCCCCGAAGTACTGATCACAGACCGAGGGTCATCGTTCATGGCACAGTTGACCCAAGAGATCCTTCGTCTAAGCCACACAAAACACCGTCGAACAACGGCATACCATCCGCAGACGAACGGGTTGACGGAGCGGCTCAACAAAACAATCGCCGACATGGTCTCTATGTACGTCGACGTGGAGCACAAGACCTGGGACGAAGTGCTGCCCTACGTCAGGTTCGCCTACAACACAGCGGTGCAAGAGACCACAAGAGTGACGCCCTTCCAGCTGGTGTATGGCCGGGCGGTGACGACTATGGTAGACTCTATGTTGCCGCACGAGTCAGTCGACGACGGGAGCGATGACGCCCAAATGGTTGCTCAACGGGCAGAAGAGGTCCGCCAGCTAGC